TTCGTATTGGTCTTTTATATTCAAACGATTTATATTGTGCACTACTCAAGTTTTATGTACAATCGCAGTGTGTATAGCCTAGTTTGTGAAATAATGCAATAGGATTTCTTTATTGCGCGTTATACTGTTCATATAATTGAATTATATTTATATTCTTTCATATTCTCTATTTGCAAGTTACTTGGTTACAAAGTAAGTGTTTTTAAGCTCATGTAGACATATGACATGTAACATCTCGTTTCAGCATTGCAAAATTTGGAGGGTACAAAGTCCTTAATTTGTTAATTACATTATTAAAATAAAATTTGAAATAAATAATGATAAAAATAAAAGCAATTCCAGGTAATATCGACATTTAAGATGCTTTACAAAGGTCTTACGTGTATCTTATATTTTTATATTTATTGGGATCGCATCGCATTATATATTTTAATTACCATACTGTGCAGCAATGGGGGTCGACTGAGATACTAAAAGGATGTCTGACTTACACGTCTTACTTATACATCAGAATGATTTTTTTTGGGAAATTTGAAAAATTATTTTATACAAAGTCCTTCATAAGTGAACATAATAAAAATCATTAAAAAAAAATATGCTTATCTCGTACCTATTTAATTATTATTCATCGGATTACAATAAAACCTTCGTCTGTGGTCGTGCCCACGATCACAAAAGTTTCTGATGTATTAGAACTGTTTTAAAACATCAGATGGTCCAGTTATTTTAACAGCTGAAATAGCGTTTCTTTTACAGATGCACTTATCCACTATGCGACTTTCTTTTGTTTCAACAAATCATACTCTTGGTATAATAAAGCCATATATGATCATACTTTAAAAGTGCTTAAAAGCACTGTTCGATAAATTGGACGAAAGTCGTCATTGGACAAATGATACGTACTACATTAAACAAATTATGTATTTTCGAAATTTCATAACTTTCCTACGACAAAAAGCCAACTAAAAAGAAAGAACAAACGCATAGAGAAATTCTTCAAGTCTGCTGACTCGCAGTATGTCAGTTGGTGGAGTGAATGTCTTACGTACAATTTTCACACCTCGCTCCTAAAAAGTTGTAATTTTGCAGATATGGCCTTATAGGTACCAAACGGTGTGAAATGAGTCTACTGCCAGTCGCGTTGTAACGTCTGCTGGCTACAGTTAGTTGTTTATAAATTTTCATCACACAATTGTGTGGATAAGTAGGTTAAAAAACATGCTCGCATTGGCGGGCTCTACCATGCCCCCGGATCATAACATGAAATTGCTTCTATAGTGACCCCCGTCCTGTCATCTCGTTCATTTGTCATGTCGACATGAGACGGAAAATAAGTTCTACTGTTTGATACTTCCCACAATTAACTTTGCCACTTAAAAGATGGGTTAGTTGGTTATTAAAATAATTAATGGAGTCGAGCTTTATCTCCTCGGGATAATGAATATTATAAAAATTTATGAATCGAATAGGAGACTCCAGAGACCATGCCGCATATATTGAGTATATCCCAGCCGCAGTGACCCTATTTCATATTTTAACTTTGTTAGTTTGTTAACGTATCTTGGGCAATACCGAAAATAATTTTAACGAATATTCAAATAGCTGAGTGTTCACAATTCTTCCGTATCACATAAATATTTATAATCCACCTTCACACAACCGTTAGTGTGTGTGGAACATTAATTGAAACAGAAAAGCCTTATTGTCCATTCTGCAAAAACCCTGTCCCCTTACCGTTAGGAAGCAACAGAACCGGTAAACCTTACATTACAATGTCACTTAAACATACTGTTCTAAAGAATAGCGAATAGTTTCCAGACTAAGAAATAGTCGTTAAGGCGAGGCATTTCAACGCAAGCCTAGATTTTAGGAGGTGAGGTGTGGGGTGTCGCCTCGCGCGTCTCACAATCTGAGCGCAATAAATTAATATGAATAAGAACAGGCGGAGACAATTTGACATAGATCCGACATCAACAAGTGCCCAAAGGCGACTGACGGGGTAACAGGCGGTGCGGTGTATCATTAAGCCGTTGGGCAATTTGCAAATCTTGGGATAAATGTGAATTTATGAACTAATAGGGCTTCAGTTGACAATCAAAATTTAGCAAGTTCTCCGCAGTACTTAAAGAGAATTATCTCAAATATCTAAATTAAGCACAAAATTATATATTTTATTCTTAAGTAATTCGTTTAGACTTTTATTTTAGCCTGTTTTCAGGATTTTATAGGATCGTATGAAGAACATCTTATCATGTAACACATTAGCACATTCTTTAGACACTGTACCTAAGGATATTATCTATTATATATATAGTATGATCGTTATATAGTAAATACCTAAACCGTTAAATCACTTTTTCCCGCTTCTTCTCCGGTGACTCCCCTTAAACTATGATATAACAAGTGCTTCAGAAAGACCGTAAATTATGAAACGCATTTTACTTATGCAATATTTGACCTAGATTCAACGCATATTTGGTACTTCAACTTCTTAACAAGGCCAGGTTTAACCCTCATTACAATAAAAGTAAGTTATTTACCACCTTTTTTTTAAAAGACCGTTTAACTATGTTTCTACATTTTTGGATAAAGTTAAAATATGTACTACGAAAAAAAACCCTCCTTTGTAAATATGGACATAGCATTTACAAATCCTCAATTATCCGAAAACCACCGCAATATTTTATAGACTGGGCATATAATCTCGTGTTTATTTATTCATTAGGATGGACTTATAGAGCTACTTGTGTCTAATAACTTTCCCTGGTGATTAACTATAACGTATTGTTCTTACCTGCGTCAATAGGACCAATCAATCTGGAATGCTTAACATCACATTACGCTGAGTTTAGATCAGACATCACTGAATACTAGCTTGCTATGCTTTGCTGAATCTATTGATAATAAATACAATAAATCTTTATTTCTCTGTCAACACAAAAATCGAGCTCTGTTAGAATAATGTTACTTAAAAATAATATGTCAAGTTCAGTTTTCGCGATTGTTACGCATAGGAAATGAAACTATGATTTCAGATCTAAATCGCGTATATTAGTTTTTTTTTAAGCAAACCAACATTTGGAGCCCTTCACAGGTCAGCCGTGACCATGAGACCTGCAAAGCACCCGAAACATTGTTGGTTTGTTTGAAAAAACAAATATACATATTTAGAGAATGGTTTCCAAAATAGGGTTGGATCTGGCACGTAGCTGCAGAACAGTGAGGCTGACTTTTTGCCCTTATGGCATAGAAGTCACCTATACGCGCCTGTGCAAACATGCCTGATGTACTTTGACGTGGCAGGCCTAACAACATCCAAAAACCTTTGTTGTATTGAACTTGCAGGGCACTACGGTTTTAAGTGCATAATCTAAAGGCTGCATGTATAGAAAACCTGGCAATATGCTTTATACAGCAAGATCTTTTGTTTATCATTACATATTGGCTCTATAAGATTATTTAATTTTATAGGAAATGAAACTATTTTTCCGGATTTAAATCGCGTATCGGGCCCTTTACAGGTCCCATGGTCACGGTTAACTATAAATATGAAAAAAGTTGAAATATAGTTTCATTTTCTATGTGTAACAATCGCGAAAACCTAAGAACTCGATATTTAATTTTAGTTCACTTGCAGTTCCGGCTATGAGTCTCCCTACCCTCACAAGTTGTCGTTGTACGACCGCAATTCCGCAATCCTAAGCAGCGCTATTAAGATAAGAACGGTCTATCCTTTAAACGATACGCGTAGTAATGCGGCCCTAAGTGGTTGTGGATTGTCCTGAACACTGGACATTGGCTGAACCAACAACAGTGTATTAGTAGGTATTGAAAAATTTCAATAAGGGAAGGTAAAGACGTGGAAACTTAAATTGACGATGCATAAAGGAGATAAATTATATGGTATAAATTATATATATTTAGGAAATTAAAAAATGTACTGTGTAAACGATCTTTTCTTCAATTTAATAACGACAACGGAACTTTTCAATTCAGTGCAGTGCCAATTCGTTAAAAAAAAAGGTCTTTGTATTTACGGTTTAATAAATATTTATTTCCCATAAGAATTATAATAATTCACTTCCATGAGAATTACACCTCAGTACTAATTAAAGTTCGGGCTTAACAGCGTACACATTAAAACACACTAAACTTAATAAGTAATGTAACTTTTTGAATAAAAATCACATTTAAGAAACACATGGAATCACATTCATAAAACTACAATTTATGCATACTAGCACTTAGAAAGGTAGGGTACAATCCAATTTAATTTTTAGAAATCCTAAGTAGGGGAGAGCGGGGCTGAAAGTGCCGATTTTGACAAATACTTAAATAAAGTTGGGATAAACGACTGCTACAGCTAGTAGTAGTAGCCTATCTTATATAAAATTTAACCTAGATTTCGAATGTATGTGAAGTTTTTGTGTATTTTTTATAGTTTTTTGTTGATCATTATTATTATGAATAGCGGTCGTAAGGCACTACAGACCCCTCTCGGGGGCAAGTTGTGCTCTAGCTGAGGTTGGTTGTGCCGTTCATAATATTATGCCTTCAACCTGGAATAAATTGGATTTATAAATAAGAAACCTTTGTTTACTTTATATTTATTTACTGTAGTTCGTTTATTATATAATCAACTTTAAATAATCAACTTCAAATAATCAACTTTAAATTAACAGTTTTAAATTTGTTACTATTTAGCAGTTTTAAATGTTCGTAATATGAAAACAAATAATAATTGCCTATTATTCTTCTTCGTATGGCAAACTCAAAGTATCTTCTATATTTATTGTTATTATTATACTATATAAACTTATAATAGAAATGATATCTATTTATATATGCCTTTAAAGGCTACGATACTAAGAATAATAAAAAATCCTCTTGATACTTAAGGTTAAGCTTGGCTCCTTAATTATCATATTATTAATCAGTCTCTCAAATTTGTCTCCATAATGTCAAATAATTTAAACCAATAAAATAATTAAAAACTTAACCTATTCTTCAGATGACTGATCAGAAAAGCAGTTAGGACATACAAATGTTTCTTCATTTTCAACACATTGCAAATGTGCCCAATTCTTACAGACTCTGCATTCAATCCATTTTTCTCCAGGCGCAGAGTTAGAGTAAGAGTCACAGCATATGATGCAGTACCATTCTAATTCGTTCTCTTCATCGGTACTTTCATCATCTTCTTGGAGAACTTTCCTTCTAGCGGCATTCTTCCTTTTTTGTTTAGTTTCTTTTTTGTTTTCTTTACCAGCTTTTCCCTTCCCATTTACTTTAGTCTTACTTTCTTTCTTTTTCTTAGCCTGTTCTTCTGCCAAAGCATTTTTTTCCGGAGTATCCGTAAGAACAGCTGACTTTCTTTTACGTTGTTTATTATGTCCCAATAAACGGGGAGGAGCTTTAGGTAATGGTCTAATCAACTCCGGAGAGAAAGGTGCATCGTTACCTTCTGTTTGAGAAGTGATGTGATCACCAGCTTGAGCATAATAGCGAGGAATAAGCTCTGAACTATGGTGTGACTCTGGTTGCTGACAACCCGATGGACCGGGCTCGTTTCCACATTCCACATTGATAGATTGCTCTATACCTGAAGGTCCTGGCTCATTTATCATTGACGCTCGGTGATAATCAGAGGTCCTTTCTGGCATGCTTGAGGGATCAGGTAAAATCATCTCTTGTAAGTGAAGATTATCTGGCATTGGCCGATCGGTGACGAAAGATGGTGCAAAGTCTTCGTCTGTAAAAATAGTCGAATCATAAGGCCAAATACCAGCCTTTTTAAATGCATTGCAAATATTGGTGGGTGTTGCTGCTAGCGGGAATGCACATTCAACTATACCTGGTATTTCGTAGATTGACATAGTCTTCCCAGGATTATTTCGTAGCCAGTTATTCTGGGCTTTTGAGCAGTATGTTTTGAAAGGGCCATTGACACCCACGTCTAGTGGTTGCAGGCGGTGAGTGCAATGTGGTGGGAATGATAGGAATATAATTGAATTTTCTTTGGCTTTTTCAATGACATCAATATTAATGTGGGATGAATGGTTGTCTAGCAGTAAAAGTACTGGTTCTTCAGGACTAGGCTTTACATGTTTTATGAAATGATCCATAAAGATCAGGAATTCCGCGCTTGTCATCCAACCCGAGCGGTTACCAGCACCAATACACTCAGGAGTGTATTGGTGCTGGTCATAACGTTCTTTTTGCTGTGATTTGTACTTGGTACATGGAGTTTTAGATCATTTCCACTTCGAAGAATTTTATTTTGTATTTCATGTTTTTTTAGTAAAGCTTATTTGTATTGTATGTCTTTTGTTAATATTTTCCGAATCAAGATACAATTTTTATATACGCAGGTTTTTGTTAGAGATATTATTTTCGTATTTATAACGACTTCCAAAAAAGGAGGAGGTTATACGTTCGGCTTGTATGTTTTATGTATGTTTCCGATTTCTCCGTGAATTGTGGATCGATTTTGAAAATTATTTTTTTGTATGAAATGGTGCATTCTCGTGGTGATCTTATTGTCACCAAGTCAGAATCTAATGAAGGGATTCATGGATATCGAATAAATCCTCAAATTTTATAGGCATGTCAGTGTACTTACCGATATCTCCGTCAATTGTGAACTGATTTTGAAAATTTTTTTGTTTGAAAGCGTACACTCTCAAGGTAGTCCCTGATGCCGACAATGCTGTTCCGGATTCGTTTCGACTATCACAAATTGACTTCACTTTTCACTTGACACAATACATGTTATCAATAATTGTCGCCACGATAACCAGAAAAAAGTATAAAATGTATAAAGGAGTCCGTAACAGTCCCATTGTCACCAAGAAGTCAGAATCTGATGAGGGGATCTCATGGTATAATTTATAAATATATCATTGGTAAAGAAAATTCAGCGTTTAGTTACACACAAGTACTCTAGGGTAAATAAATAAATAAAACACCGAATCGAAAGTTCGCTTACAAAGGTATAGGGTATCTAGAATTCCGGATGCGGTCGCTGTACGAAATTTGCCCGATTGAACTCGATTGAACTGGATTGTTTCCTTACTAAAAGGACTACTGTGGCTGTTTGTAACTATTCCATGTCTAATAATACGGTCCTTGAATATTTAGTTTAGTGATTTTGGTGTTTTGGTTTATTTTTCGCCGATTAGCCTGCAAAAATTTTTATATGATACCAAGTGACGGGACGAACAAATTGAGCACCTGGTGATAAACGAAGTTCTGAGTGGCTGCAACTGCTATGGTCAAGCTTATCTTGACCATAGCAGTTGCAGCGACTCAGAACTTTAAATCGCAAAGATCTGAGGGGCACTGCCACTTAGTCGGTCACCCTGAGACGTAGGTCGACCAGTCCCATGCGCCAGTAGTTTCACCAGCAGCCTTAACTCTTCAAAATCGTAACGCCGTAATACTTACATTACTGCTTAGTGGTGGAAATAGGTAAAGCGGCAGTAGTTTCCTAGACGAACTCTTTCACAAGGAGCTTTACTGCTACTAGAACCGAAACATATATAAATATATATTTGAAATTAAAAGACTGCGGAATTGGAACACATCAAATCCCCATTCTTTGGCCGCCCATTTTCCTAATTGGAGGCTTATTAAGCTCTTTGAATCTCTTGTAACAAAATTTGTGCTGCCTTTAATTTCATAATAAGATTGATTTACACAGGGTTACGACCTCCAAATTTTCAATTCTATTCATCTGACTTTCGCAAAACTTTGGCATGTTTGATTGGCACCTTGTCAATATTATTAAGCCGACTTCTTTGAAAGGATTTTACCTTGTAACTTTATGCCGGTGAAAAGTTCAACCACTTTTCAAAGTGTGAAACTTTATGAACCTGAGTTGGTGTTGCTGATATATTTTCAGTAACTATTCTTGGATCAGGAAGTCCCAAAGTTATTAAACGAACGCTATAGCAGTCGCAGGTCCTTGTGGTACGGTAAAGTATAAGGAAGTATAAGGATTTGGTACACTGCGCACGTGTTTGAAAGTTATATCCGCACGTTTTAAAATAACGGGACCGAAAAAGAAAACTATACGAAAATATAGTGTAGTTTGCAGCCACGTGACTATAAAGTCGAAAATTTGTAGTAGTATATTTAAAATACTAAAATGTCTACGTGAATTTATATACCATACGCCAGTATATTATAGTAATCAACATGTTGAATATTCAATACAAATTTTACGAAACATACAAGTTTGAAGTATTATATCGAGTTCTCAGGTTTTCGCGTTTATTACACGTAGGATATAAAACTATTTTTTCAGATTTAAATCACGCAACGGTTGACCATGGGACCTGTAAAGAATCTGAAACGTTGGTTTGCTTAAAAAACAGGTACGCGACTTAGATACGAAAATAAATAGTTTAATTTCCTATTAGAAGTATTATTTTTATTCATAATAATAATAATGTAATGTGCCAGACAACCATACTCATTGCCTACTCTCAAAGTAAGGATTCCCTGTTTTATGAGTACCAAAGCTACGGAACTCACTCCGGACTCTACATAGAGTACTCAGACCAGAACCAATTTAGAAAAAGTTCATTTCCCAAATGAAGCAATTTGGGAAATTAACCGGGAATTGAACCCGTCCACAGTGCAAACCGCTGGACCACTGAGGTCGTCATTTATTGCAGTGGCGAATCAAAAGTTTACGTTAGTAAAACGACAGGCGACTGGGATACGGCACATCATATTGTAGCTGCAGCTTGCAGTCCGAAAGCAGAGCCTAAAGTCGATTCGAATCACAGGATAGACAAACAATTGAAAATGTCATTAGTCAATAATCACATTACACATATATTTTGAGTCGTGGTTAAATCTATTCTCATGTAGAAATATCAGGGACAATAAAACATAAATACTAGAAAAACTAACTTTGTTAAATAATTAGTAGTACTTAATACTGATGTATACTGTTACTGGTGGTTTAATAGAATTACACAACAACAAATACAGTGGAAGTGCCTAGTGAGCGTGTTACGTGTGCCAACAGTGCGCGGAGTGCTACATACTTGAGCTCAGTCCACCATTTTCGCTTTGTACGTTATGGTAGTCTCAATTATCTCGCGCAATATCTTATCTTATTTTGCTATTTTGGAATGCAAAAATGATAGTCACACTTATAATATCCGTGGTAATGTTTCATATCATCATAAAGTCTTAATTAATTTAATTTTAATGTTAAATTTTCTATTTATCGCTTATGTCTTTGTTACACGAAACGAAAGTAAACCTTATGCCGCTGCAATATGGCCGACTCTTTTTTGAAGAAATAAGTAAACATCTTAAATTCGGCGTTGTTCAGCAATTGACTGCTAGATGCCAGCACATTGATTGAAATTTCAATACAAATCAACACGACGTAACTTGCATTAATATGTATTCAACTTATAACGACATGCCAACCGGGTAAATTTTAAATTATATTAACAATTCAGAATGTGTTAATTTTTTTGTAATTAGAAACTACGACCAATCACTATCAAGATTTCATAGTATATCGAATTATGAACATTTGAGTTTTGGCGACATCAGTTCTGAGAGTAATATAGCTTAAGGCATTTCTATTGTTCTTTTTCTTCGATGAATGAATTCCTTGCCTACAGACTTTTTCGCTGAACGTTATAACTTGGGCCTTTTCAAGGTCCATTCAATTAAGTCTTAAAAAATTATGATGAGAACCTCTTTGCATTATTATATGTACCTGTATAATTTAAACTTCTATTTGTTTTATTTTATAATTTGAATTGAATTGTGAATACACTCCCGGACACATAATCTGAACCACCTTGCATTTATAATACATAGGGCGCACTATAAGTTTCCGGAACTGGCCACTTACATAAACAATATTTAAAAAGTAATTACAACATTTGAAAATGGAACTCTTTGGCCGTCAAATACAGTTTGTTTCATCTGACTGTCACTTGCTTTTATATTGTGGCGTCATTTTAGAAATTGATTGTCTACATCACCATGGATTTAACCCGTGAAAATTTTCGTAATATGATTTTCTACGACTTTAAGTGTAAAATAACAGCTCAGCGGAGCTTCCCTCGGCTTCAAACTGCTTTTAGCGATGAAGTACCATGCAATACGAGTATTTACAGCTGATTTGCAGAATTCAAACGCGGTCGTGTGAATCTCAGTGACGAATTTCGTGATGTTCGCCCGTCCACTGCTGTGAACAACAAAAACGTCGATACTGTGCGCCATATGATCAAAACAGACAGGCATGTGACGTACCATGAGATTTGGGCGTCTTTAAGCATAGGCATGAGTCAAATACAATGAATACTACACAAACGTTTGAGGTCTCTCGGTGGATCCCACACAATTTGACTGAGGCTCAAAAAACGGGTCGTCTCACTTGGTGCAATACTACGCTTACCAGATTCAACGAAGGGGCGTCAAATTTGTGTGGGACATAGTTACAGGTGACGAAACATGGATTTATAGTTACTATTCCAAAACAAAGCAGCAATCGAGGACACGTAGTTACTGTTGCTTTGGAGAATCGTTGTAAATACAACCGTAAACGCCGTATCATCCTGCACCACGATAATTCCAGTTCTCACACGGCCAATTCTCAGATAGACAAATGAATTTTCGAAAGTGAACAACGTTGACCTTATGAGCCATCCCGCGTCTGTACGCGGACGGGACTGTTCCCGACCTTGTGACTTTTATTTATTTCCAAAAATTAAAAACCAGTTACGAGGTCAACGATTTTCATTACCTGAAGAAGCTGTCGAAGAGTATGAAAAATATGTATCAGAGATTCTCACGAAGGAGTGGCATAATGTTTTCAAAATTGGTTCATTCGTATGAAAAAGTGCATTAACGCTAACGGAGAATATTTTGAGAAACAATAAATTCATTTCTGACCATTTATGGTATTTTATTCTTATTCATTCCGGAAACTTATAGTGCGCCACATGAATTAAATCAGGGTTAAACAATGTTTTGTTGATCAATTTATTATGCAATTTTGAAACTGCTGTACTAAACGTCATTTCCATAGGTTTTTGTTCGAAAATTTGAATTTGTAATCCCGGGGATGTTGTCACTCGCACCA